ATATTACCAAGTCCTTGGCCAGAAAGGGTTTGTAATTACATTCCACTGAGACTGCAAAAGTGTAACTTGCCCAAGGTAACCCAGTGGTTTCCATAGCTGAGCAAAGATTTGAGCCCTGGTCTCCAAAACCAAACCACTATACCTCACTGGCTCTTATATTACATTAGAAGTGACAAGATATTATTCACCAAGATCAAATTCCTCCAACATCCCTTATTGCCATCGCTCAGAGTGATCCTGGTGAATAATTCTGATATGAAATGACCATATCCACACTGTGCACTAATATGCCGATTGCATACTTATCCTTCATCATTTGTGCTTTCAAAATGTTCTAACAGAGTTGGCATCTCAAAAAACAATGAAAAAAACATATATCAAAATTTTGAGGCGAAATTTTAAAATATGTATATGAGTATTATTTAAGTGCTACTCTTTGTGTGGATTTTAAAAAATCATCACAGAGCAATTCAAAAATGAGACAAGGGCTTACGGTGAGTGAAAGCACATAACAGTGAAGTGAACCAGAATTAGACTAGTTCATCAGTATGGCAATAGGATATGGAAATGAAAAGAATCAAGTGACATCCCAAACTTTCTTGTGCAGAACCATGACAAGTAGGCTGCTTTCTAACTAGTGCTCAAGTGCCAGCTTCACACCTCTGTTGTGACTGTGTGTCTTCTGAGGGGGTGAAATGCTTAGCAAGCTGCTGTGACTTGTGAAGTGCCTTGTATGTGGCAGGTGACTTCTTTATGTACCCTGAGCTTGGCATGTTTTCTTTGTTTCATTCAACATGGCAGCAAAGCTGAAATCTTGACGGTTGAAAATGCAGAAGCCTAGGAAAGCACCAGACACTAATGTAACACTTCCCTTTTACTTTCTCCCCCCACCCTTTCCCCTGATCCTCCTCAATGTGCTTTGATGTTAACTTCTTACATGCACTGAGATAGCTTCAGGATCTGATCAACAAATCATGCATGCAAATTGAGAGGGACAAAGAAGAGGCATCACTTCCTTCCTGCAATTCCAGGGCACTTTGGTAGTTTCATGCTGGTGACGTAGTGAAGCCAGGGTTCACAGGATTAGAGTACTGGACTATGCTGAGATTGTGCATCACAGGTCTCAACTGCACTTCAGAAATAATACAGTTTGACACCACTTTCACTGCCAGGTTTCTGAAAGAAGGGAAATGGAATATTTTAATTTTATTCCTCCCTCCCCCCCCCCAGTTTGATTTTCAAGTCAAAAGAAACAAAATAAAAGGTGGGCAGAGGTTTAACTTGCCTCTCTAGCCAGCTTTCTGTTGGCTGCAATATAGAGGTCAACCCTATCTGGACAAATATACTAGGTCAGACATTTATTACATTTTTCATGTTTACTCAGAAGTAAGATCCACTGGCTTTAATACAGCTTAATCTCAGGCATAGGACTGCAATCTAAGTACACTATTATCCCATCTATCTTCTTTTATGGAACCCAAGGTAATATACATACATACATACATACATATGCATACACATGGAAAGCCATGCATCCCTATTATCCCCTGGTCATTGACCAGGCTTAAACTGCTTTTTCTTCACCATGCTCAGAGTGATCCTGGTGAATAATTCTAATATTAACACTAACAACGTCTTTCTTTCAGTTAGTGTCAAAGGTGCTACAAGATTCCTTTGCGTACTGATTTTCCAGACTAACATGGCTATGTCTTTGAATGTGTCCCTCTAGTTGTTGTTGAACTATTATACCTCACCAATGGCCAAGCTTGCTATGGCTGATGGGAATGTATGCCCGCCAGCAACATTTGGAAGGCTAAATGTTTTATTCTTCTGATGTAGGCATTCATATGTTTAAGGGCTTTACAAAATAATTTGAGAAAGAATGAAGACATATTCATAGTAAATTGAAGTCTGGGGTGTATGTGGAAAATTAGTGATTTTTGAAACTTATTCCCCACCATCTAATTCCCAACATCTCCACCCTCTTTCTTCACTTCTTCCAACCCTCAACTGACCAAACTTTTACCATCAGCCCAACTGAAATTCTACAACATCCCATTTACCTCTTCCTCCTGCTTACCTTAACATTTATTCTGCAAGTGACTCCTTCCTTCCTCTCCTCCAGTCCTCATACCCAACCATGATTCACTCTAAAACTGGATGAGCAACACCCCATGGTCTAAAGCAGGGGTAGGCAACCTTTCCCCTTTAAGGGCCGAGGGACTTCAGCTCCCAGAAGCCTCAGCCATGTTGGCCAATAGTCCCATGTTGGCCAATAGCTCCTGGGATTCTGGGAGCTGAAGTCCCTCGGCCCTTAAAGGGGAAAGGTTGCCTACCCCTGGTCTAAAGAATGATGAAAAGTATAGAAGCTCCAATGCTGACTGCTTGCCAACCTATGTACAAAACCTTCACTTTATTGCTTGTTTGCAGTCTTACGATGCTTAAGTACAGTCATCTCAAAAGTCAGCTGTTCTGCCAATGAAGATGCCCCCTAAATTATTTATACACATCATATTCTCTTTTCTAAAATCAGTTGGGAAAAGGTGACAGGTGATGACACCATATGGCAGATGTTCAGCAAACAAGATGCATACAGCTCAGATGAGAACAGAAGTATCTTCAGCTGCCGAAAAGTGACAAAGCCGCTGAAAGATTGCCTTACTGAAGAGAAAAAAGCAAGAAAGCAAAAGTGAAAAGACTTCCTTTACAGAAGGATCTTGTAAAGAGAGACCCCAAGTATGCACAAACACACAAATAGCCACTCATGCACCAGCAAAGAGGAAATGTGCACACATGATGTTCATTTATTAACTTAAATTATGTAAATTAAGAAAAAAGCTATCAGTTATATAGAACTACAATACCTTTCACCATAATGGATAAACCTGCAACTAAGGAGATTAGTCTTCTGTTCTTAAATAATGGGATAGAAGCAGGATTGAAACTGTAACCAACATATCTTATTGCACCACATTGTAGCTAGGCAGTAGGTATCCTGTAGTTAACCTGAGCTTCTGCCACAGCTTTTAATGAATGAGAAAATCCTGAGAATAGCTGTCAATCCTGCAGTTAACCCATATGTGTGATAGGTCATTCTGGGGTAATTTAGAGAGAAGGGAATTTAAACAGGTTTCACCCAATTCCCAATGAAGGCAAGACTTCTTACTCAGAAGGAGGCAGGAGAAAGGGGATTTAAACCGGATTCACTGCACAGACCCCATTCCCAATGAAGGCAATACTACTTACTTACTTATTTAATCTTGGATAGCTCACCAGTAAACAGAACAAT